TATATATATATATATATATATATATATATATATATATATATATATATATATATATATATATATATATATATATATATATATATATGCCTCTCTCTTATAGAAATCAGCCCCAATTTAGTAAAAACCCAAAAAATAAAGAAAACAACTAGGTAGGATGAAGATAAACGCTGACCGATATTTACGTGAACTGAAAGATATCTACTATAGTAACATAGCACTGCCATAACATTTGTTCTGCATTATACAGGTAATGACTGTTATATCATTACATCGCATCGAATAACACCTGCTATTACTAATGTTGATAAGTAACACTCCCTGTTTATAAATGTTGGTAAGTGATATCATTTAAAGTCATGGTTAATACGAAAGAGTTGAAACAACAAACATAAGTTGCAACGCTATTAAACTCTCGGTATGGAATACGCTGCGATATGCAGATCATTGGACTCCGTGTAGACCTGTGTTATCACGGTGACACCGAACGTGAATTTATCCGACAACGATGACTCCGTGAGACACCCACACGGAAACCAACACATACCTTCTCTCAAACATGTCCTTACGTGTCACATGCACACGCATATGTAAATGCACCCACGTATGTACAAAATACCACCCACGTGCACGCATGCACACACACATACACAGACACGCCCACACGCACCCATCCATATGTGCAAAGAGACACATGCGACCTAATGAGACACATAGCGCCCGCCCCTACTCCCACCTCTCATCCTGCTCCTCTTCGTCCGAAGTGCTTCCTCAATTTGAAAATTGCGGTTTCGACAGTCTTGTGCTGCTGTACCATCAAGGGAAAAAGTGATTGCGGAAGAATGAGCACGGAAACGCGAGAGGGTACATGACAGTACGACAGCTCGAAATGCTGGTGAGATAGTAGTGTGACGAGTGACAAACTCTGAGAGAGGCAGAGTGGAATTTTGAGAGGTTCATGGTGAGAAGGATTTCCCAATAAGTCCCCCTGCAACCAGTGGCGACTTCCCGCTTGTTTCAGGAAAGAACCGACTTTAAGGAACAATTTGTAAATGTAGGCCTTAGATTCTCGAGACTAATTCCAATATTTCGAAATCTCTGCAAATACTGACACCCATACCCATCACAATATGTGTCCACTCTTGTTGCTCCAAGTCATCTAATCACCTGTCGCACTTGTCGCTTTGTGAACTTCCCCATGTGTAGATTGGATAGATCAGTGGTGGGACAGTTAGTATTGTATTTCAGTATCAAATAAATAAAAGCACTAATTAGATTCAAACAGTTATTATATAGTTTATAAATGAGTAAAAGCAGTAGTGATGGCTTGCATAAGTGGTGAAACAATACATTGGTTGAAGACTACCTGACCAGAATGTTTGATAAGAAATGATATGACAACGACAAAAAAAAGAAATGGGTACATGAATGAATACGAATCAATGAAACGGTTTGATGTAGAAATGAAAGACGCACAGAGGTTTCACCATACAATAATCCTGTCTAAAAAATTTTTCGCTTTCAAACGAGCAGTGATACTAATAACAATAATGATAACAGTGCTAATAAGCATAACAATAATAATAATAATAAATAATAATAGTAATAATAATACTGATAATAACAATCACAATAATAATAGTAATAGTAATTAGTAATTAATAACTAAGAATTAATAGTTAATTAATAATTAGTAGTTAATAATTAATAATTAATAATAATTAATAATAATAATAATAAT